GGAACTCTGCAAAAAACGCATCTTCGCACGGGCAGCCCGTGCGTTGGCCAATTTTTTTTTTTTGAAACGATTTAAGAAAGCTTTTCGAATTTCAGATATAGGATTGATTTTTCGGAAGCTGAACTTGGCCGAGCAAAAGCTGGTGGCGAGGATTCAAGCAGTGAAGAAGAGGACGACCAGAAAGGAATGCCAATGATTCAAATCGATATGAAAGGATATGGATATTGAACGGGGATTTTAATTCCTAAAAGTGGCATTAGCCATCCTGAAGTTCGACCTCGGTTGTAGGGATATATGTTTCGAATAAAGGAATTATAATAAAATCATATTTAATCAAAAATTTTCCCCAACTTTTTATAAAATATGGTTTGTATTTCATGCAGTACAGAAGTAACGGAGTTTTTGGCTTTCTATTTTCATTTTCGTAAATTTTTAAATTTTTTCCGTAAATTCTAATCAAAACGGTGTTTTGCAAATTAAAAATGCGCGAAAGCCGTGAGGATTGATCTCAAACAAATCTTACTGGCCCCTTGTATAAGGCTTAAGCAAAGACAAAATAATTCAAAGAATCTGGATACCGTCTGAGCTTTATTATCACTCTTTTGCTGCATTTGTATTCTTAACGTTAAAATCGAAGGCCAAGTCATTCTGAAGCTGCAAACAGTCGTAGCAAAGCCGGTACAAGAAAAAATGAGTCTTATATGACTAATTTTACGTAACTTCATTTCTTATCAATCATTGATCAGCAAGCGATAAGATTATATCTCCGACAAACTTTTGTTCACTTAATTTGTCATACTTAATTTGTGATTTCTGTAGTATTGTGATCAGCTTATTTTTTGATTTTTTTTTACGGGATTTCGCTTTACAATTTATTTCTATTTCGGTGCCCTTATCACAAAAAGCTGGCATCCGCGTGCAAAGGAATACAAGAACACCTTTATTATTAATCCATTGTGGAACATTTTTTGCGAGCTGCTATGAGAGGAATTTTTTCGCATTCATTATAAAACTGCCGATGTTTTTCAAATACTTATCAGTATTGACTAATTTATATTGTTGGGCTGATGGACATGAAGCACTGGGAAATAGCACTACTGTAGTGCAGAAAATCGAGGGTCCAACTCCAATCTCTCCACGATGCATTTATTCGTTTTGCCGGTAAAGTGATACTATAATACGCACACAGAGTCATCCTCTACCAACTTATTCTTGAGCAACACTCAAAAGAGGGAGCCATCAGCAGCTAGCCAGCGAGTGACTACTGTTAGCACATGCTTGTCACTCCGGCTACTTCGCGAGTGCTCTCGCCTCTCATAGAGGGCGACTACGGAGGATGTTTTGACGATATTGTTATTGTGTTATGTCAGTGTATTCCTCTCTCCTTTCCGTTCCTCATTTGTAGCTACTAAAAACGTGCCAGTCGTAAATAGTTCCAACTAAGGCAATTTATGTTTAAAGGAGCTACTGGCTATTTTTCGATGTGGCCGTAGGGCAGTGAACTGGCACAAATCAGACGGTTTCTATAACTTACCTTTCACTCATTTAAGCGAGGAAATTACTGTTAACTCAAAGTGATGGGGTCAAAAGTTAACCGTTGCTAATTTCTTTTTTGCTTTATGCAGCCGAGCTTCTTCGACAATCTTTGCTTGTTAATTGTGGTTGTATCTCATTTTTCAAAAAAAAGTAGAGAACTGGTATCTGCATTGCCATTTTCAAGGTTTAGTTTTTGCTTTGGTGCTCCCAATGTTGATTTTTTGGCGATTTGCCGAACTGTTTTCACGGTAAACGAGCTCTGATGCACCTGGGAATGGTTGGCTTTTAGAATGGTTTCAGCTTGTTCTCAACCAGTCAACAGGGAATAAAAACCATCAGCGGCTTCATCAGTGCGTAGATACCGTTACTGAAAGCAGTAGGCAAACTCCGGAATGGTAGGCGGGTTGTCTTATGTTTTCCAGGAGAAATTAAAGACGGTTTTCGAATTTTAAGGATCGATTTTAAGGAGTGAAGGTTTTGAAGTTATTTCCATAACGTTTGTATTATCTGCCACTCAAGAAACGATTTAAATTTTCTGTGTTGTTAGCTTCAATAATTGCTTTAACCTTTTATTTCGTTCTCACTGCATTACTCCCGATGCATTCCCGATTATTTATTTGTAAATGCTTCTGATTGTAGCTTATCTCCGTACAAACAGTTTTATGCAATAAGTTTGTCAGAATTAAAATTGATTTCGGCAAAATTTTATTAAAATTTGTGCTTCTGTGCAATTATCATTCAAACACATTTGTGCTATTCCCGCAACAGTGCAACAGGATTTTTCCACATTAATTTTTTATGTTGCTTTTAGTGCTGCAGTTCAAAATCAGTATTGATATGAGGCGTTGCAAATTCCCTTCAGGCTTTTATTTATATAACAGGAAATACATGGTAATGGACAACAAACAAGAGTATTTCAACAGAGGTAATCATACGCCTGACAATTTACTGGATGTAAAAGCCATTGGGACTAGTTGCTTGAGTTGCACTTCGATTCGTTTCTTCGAAGTTGATGAGGCCATTATTACCTGAAGCAGAAAATGATTTTTCGAAAATTAAAATGGTCAAAAAAGGAATGAAAGGAGAAGACTGTTGCGACAAAGGTCTCGAAAACGTTTTTTTATCGTCATTCGAGTTCGGTTTTTTAACTTTAAGAACCGAATTTGGCGTCTTTTCGCCCAATTTTTCTCACTTTTTTCCATATGAATAATTTTATCGCACCCCTGGTACAAAGAGGAGGGAAGGATGCTTAGTATCCCCCAAAAGAGTCTGGTTTCGTCAACAGAGTGCTACATATATTTTTTTCTAGGATAAAAAAAATGCAAGCGGCGCCACCGTAAGAATAAACTGTCCAAAAAAAACGGTAAGGAGCATTGTTTCTTAAAAAGCTCCAGTTTAATAAAAAATTCGAATTTTGACAACGTTTACTTTTTACTGTGCGAAAAAGTGCCTGGAAAATGAACGATAAAATGTGCCTTTATATCGCCAAACTCGGCAAGAACTTGCCGGCATGTTCCACAAGGAGCGGACGGCTCCGCTGGCGCTGTACAAACGGCAATAGCCTTGAATTCCCGATGTCCTTCTGCAATAGCTCGCACCACTGCACTTTGTTCTGCACAAATCGTGCAACCATATGATGCATTTTCTACGTTTCCTGCAAGCTTACCTAATGTTATGGAGTTTCTGGAGAATGATGCTGCGTTAATTTTGAAGTGCTATATACAGCACAGTCATAGGTGAAGTAGTTTGGCGATTCACACTTTCAAAGAAAAATTAGTAAAACTAACATTTCTTACTCGCTTAAATACCCAAAACAAAATCGCGATATTGAAAAATTTCTGTTGTTTTAGACTAACGGAAAAGCAAACTAAATGTTATTGAATGTGCTCCTAACCAAATTTTGCCTCGCAAAAGATTTTTTTACCGGGACTTATGGCATTCTTTTAAAATGCAGTAGAATCCAAATGTCCGTAACTGCAGAAAATTCCAAAAAAATAAATTGAAAAATAAGCCTTTTCAGAAATTTTTCAACTGAAATCCAAAAACTGATTGAAATTGAAAAAGATTACCGGCAGTTATTATGCAGTCATCCTTGGTCAGCAGAGCAGCGCCAACTCTGAATTTGCTGTATGGACAGTAGGCACGATCCATTGCAAGTCGTGCTGCATCCACCAGTGCATCCACGTCCAAATTAGTTGTTTCCGCACCGGCTGTCATTTTACAATGAAAATGCACTAGCTCAGAACAAACTAAAAGAATAACAAGAGTGCAGTAGAATACAAAAGTTTTAAATGATATCTAACAACAAAATAAAGAGCAATGGTGTGCGAAGCAACAGCGCGTAATTGTGGACTCAAGAAACCTCGAGTGACCAAGAATGAAGTTCGAAATTGACCGAACCGAGTTTGAAGTTAACCGCTCAAAGTGATCATGAGCACAGAAAATCCGCTTTGATGGGAAAGTATGATACTCAAATTCACAGCGTGATGCTCCGGACGTTTTGTTCGAAATGATCATGCGCATTCAAGCTGGAAGCGTCCTCTTTTTTTTTCGAAGATGATCGGAGATCTGTTACACGATAAAAACCTGGTTCAGGGCCAAACTCGTATAAGAATAGTGATTCACAATTTGTACGGCCGGTGGCCACTTTGTGATTCAGTGTCCAACGCTTTTGCTTATCGTCATCTCGGAATTTATTATGATAGAATAGCCCATGCTTCAACCATTTCAGCAATGCCCTATGACCAGTTCCTGTTGATTTAAAACAGCAAAAATCATTTTTTGAAAGCCAGAGTTTTTTTGAGAGCCACGGAGTCCTGAGGTTTCGGAGCTCTAATGCTCAAAAAAATCCGAAGTGATGACAAATCCTCGAAAGACTTTGTTGGTGTGCTCAAATTTTTTGCCGATATGCTCCTGTCAAACACAGAAAAAGTCATAAAATATTTCTCATACATATTGATCCAGACCTTACGAGGTCACAAATTGTGGGAAGACCAGTGATGACATTTTTCACTGATTTCAGCATGACCTCTCGAGGTCAACAGAGCTAGAAAAAAACCTAACGGAAAGACTGAAAAGCATCGAGGGTCAGTGTAGAAAAAGCGGTTGAAGCGAACACCTGATTCAGCTGAAGTAGAAATTTCAAGTGTCGGTGGACTGGCGGGGAAGTTTTTCTGCTTTCTGCCTTTTCAAGCTTAGCAGAAAACTTTTCTCGTTAACAGGTGCATCGGTAAAGAGCTTCCGCTGGGACACAGAAGTTTTCCTCTGCTTTGACCGATAAAAAGCTGAACCAAACATGCCACAGGCGAACACAGAGAATGTCTAACGCCAGGGCAGTTGAAAAATCTGATTGAGGCAAATGAGGAATGAAAATATTTGGACAATCTGCATATATGCCAAAAAAATAAAAAATAAATGTTTGACGCCTTATTTACTGGTTTTTTTAAAATTTTCGCGACTGCAAATGCTAAGATGAGGCTTCCCCACAAAAGTCTATAGCAACGAATGACCGCACTGGTCAGCACTGAGAAGTGGGTCACTTAGTTGGTGTGTAAAATCAGTTTTGAACATACAATTACAGCATCTGTGTCACGCAAAGTAACCAATCCTTGAGAATGCCACCTGTCGTCATCTTTCTGACCATCACCCAAAAAGCTTGGATAAATGGATCTGAGTTACTTGAAAAAAACAGTACAACTCCGCTCGTCACTCTAGTGGAACTGCGGGTTAAAGTTCCCATGCAGCATCAACACTTAGCTAATCCCACTGCGTTAGTATGTGCTACAGACCTCTCACCACCAAGCCGAACTTTAATAATGACGTATCGCTAGGCATCTTACAGTAACCTCACCCATCGTCATCTCTAAGATGCGCACTACTTTTGCTCTTCTCCTGTGCTAAACAGAAACTCTTGGAAATTTTCAGGATAATCAGTGTAAAGATTGAACAAAGTAACTTTTGCTTTGTACAGTAGTCATGTTTGTTATTAGTTGATCGCAGAGAGATCAGTTGCCCCACTAGCACGTGGTTCCATTCCACAGATGAGACACTACGATTGGCTTCGATGTTAAATTGGTACTAGCGCATGACAGGAGCCAAACCCGTCAACAGCTTGCTTGTAAGAAACTTCTCGAATGAGGGAGACATTGGCAACTTTATCGGCGAGTGGTTGCTGTTGGCATTTGTACGCTCGGAACTCTTCCGGGCACCTCCGTTTCCCATGACAGAATTTTGACTTTAATTTTGATGTTGTTGCCAGTTATGGGAAAAGTGGTACAGAAAATGGTGTCGTGAATCCGGATCAGTGCTCTCGATCCTGCTCAGTTGGAATCAAATTGTGGCCACCAAAACTAAGGCGTCGAATCCTGATTTCAGTGAAACTCTGCAGCCGTCATATGACGAGGTATAGTTGCAGTGCTGAGTTAAGACGTATATGACTTAAAGGACCGAAACGTCCTACCTCACTGTCCTGTTCTGTTCTCTCTTATTTGCCCTTCTTCTCCTTCTAGTTATTTTGTCTTCTTCCTGGTTCTCTTCTCTCTTCCGCTTTTAGTGCAACCGGACCTGACCTGACTGCTGTGAACTATTCGTTATGCAAATACTTCTCAAATCACTCGGACTGGAGCACTTGGTTGATAAGAACACGCGTGCTGCGCTATGCCACCCCGTTTCAGGTTACTTTACTTTCAGCTTTTAACTTCTTTCTGTAGCATGGGGCTGTGCTTTTCTAATCGGAATTACGCAAGCCCTGCAGCTGTTTTTTTTTTTTTTCATCTTGCAAATAACGGTAATGGACACATGCTCACACTGCATCAACAGTGCGCATGGAATTTTTTTGAACTGACAAGACTACCTTCGAGGGTTACTCAGATGCAAGGTGATGGTGGTCGCGACTTCGCAGCCTGCATTAGTAATAATTCACCATGGAGACGAACCGTATTAGTATTAGCAAACAAAACCATCGATTTCCACGCTGAAGACGG